GTTTTCAAGACAAAACAGGCACCCTGGCTCAGATTCCAGAACTTTGACTCTTCATCTCTTTCTCACTGAGAGGTTTGGTATCTCATGCAGTCCACTTCAGGGGTGTTTCTTTCTCTTATTAATCTAAACTAGGACATTTTTATAAAGTGAGAAAATAGTAATTTAGAACCTTTTATACAATTTAGAAATGGCAACTAAGTTGTGCTGGTTTGCTGTAGTCATCTATTTCCCACAGCAAACAAATATAAGATTAATTTGTAGACCTTTAGCTTACAAATGTACACACAGAACTTAATATCAAATCCAGAATATCTTATGAATTTATTTCAATTTAAACCTTTCTCTTCAATTTTCTTTATATAAAATTTGCATGTCTGGCAACCAAGTCAAATTAAAATTTTAAAACATACATAATAGGGTTTTGTACCTTAAACCATCCACACTGTAAAATACAAGCACTGTGGAAATGTGACTAATGATCCAGTCCTTTAACCTAATATAAAAGGACTACTAAGAAGCTTTATCATTCTTTGTAGAATAGCTTTTTTCTCACTCAAATTCAAGTAACTGACTCAATATTACTCTCTATTGCACAGCATATTCATAAGATTCTTTTTTAAAAAATTACACACTGTAAAGTATTTTAATTTTTTAAGTTCCATCTCTACCAAGGAATTCTGGATTTTTTGGAAGTGTTATTTTTACCTTTTCTTTTACTCCTAAGTGAAAACTGAAAATGATATGCTTCATACTCATAAAATCCAGACAGCTCTCCCGCAACTGTAAGACTTCATGGGCCACTATACAGGAGAGACAATTATCAAACTGCTTCATTCTCATCGCACCCTGTGTCTTTCCTATACCACCTACCTTGGCACAAATGAAATTGGAACAAATGGATTTGGTAAAAGAAAGCGATTAGAATTGTAAATTGGAAAGAGAGTAGAGTTGAGAATTAATGTGGATGTAGGAATAAGAGCGGAAGGAGGTTATGTTAACTGAGATGAATATGTAATTCAGTAGAAGCAGAAAGCAAAACTGATGACAAGGTATGGCATAGTCTTAGGCTTGAGATTTTAGTGCCATATATTTTAAAAAAACATTCTCAGACTTTCAGAACTTAAGATTCTATAGGAGTTATAATATTAAGTCAAATTTAATAAGCGAAAGAAAAATGACATAGAAAACAAGTTATGTGCCTAATTTGGGGACTACCTTAACAAAGGACATTTCATCTGTAACAACTAAAGAGAATTTCTAATTCAACTGATGTATGTGCGACTCTGGAAAGAAGTGGAGCTACTGCCCTATATAATCAAAGTAGACATGTGTTTGCTAATAAGTAATCACATATAAGAAAATAAAGAGAAACTAGACAGAGGTCACTTTACCTACATTCTGTTCTAAGGAATGAAAGGCATACCCGATATGTTATAACTAAAATAAAAGATAAGCTATAAACAGACTTCTCCTTGGTGTTAATCTGAATACCTGACATTTGATTCTGGTTTCTTGCATGTCACTGAAGGCAGCAGGTCATTTTCTTACATGCTTCAGGTTCAAAGGAAAATCATGTACATAAGAGACAAAATTCTACTTTCCTTCCTCTTCCATTCCCCTTTTGTGAAGGGTCAAAATTGGTAGAAAATAGCTTGCATTTTAAAGCCATTTAGAACTTTCTGTTTAGACACAGGGAGACAGCCACCAACTATATTCTGGCAGTGATGCTACTGTTGGTGACTTTTACCAGTACACTAGTCAAAACTACACAGACCCAGTTTAGTACTGAAGACCGTGAGAGCTTTGCTCTCACATCATTAGGCATCAATGAGTGAAATAAAAGATGCAATTTAATCACATGAACAGTAATTTGAGTTGCTATTCACAAATACAACTCTCTTAGTAGTTAGATTTCAAGGGCTGAAACACATTAAATAAAACTACATATAAAGAATATCTATTTCCACATGAATATAATACTATTTTAACATTATACAGAAGTGAAGAAAAGAGGACTTGAAACACTCACTGATAAAGATCAAAGCCTACAGCTTTCAGTGTGGATTACACCACAATATAAAGAAAACAAAAATCCTCACAACTGGACCAATAAGCAACATCATGATAAAATGAAGTTGTCACGGATTTCATTTTACTTGGGTCCACAATCAATACCCATAGCAGTCAAGAAATCAATGTATTGCATTGGTCAAGTATGCTGCAAAAGACCTTTTTAAAGTGTTAAGAGAAAAGATGTCACTTTAAAGACTAAGGTGTACCTGATCTAAGCCACAGTATTTTCAATCACCTCATATGAATGTAAAAGCTGGGCAATGAATAAGGAAGACCAAAGAGGAACTGATGCTTTTGAATTGTGGTATTGGCAAAGAATACTGAAAATACCACAGATAGCCAGAAGAATGAAGAAATCTGTTTTGTAAGAAGTATAGCCCAATGCTCCTTAGCAGTGAGCACAATGAGACTTCACCTCAGGTATTCTGGATATGTTATCGGGGGGACCAGTCCCTGGAGAAAGACATCATGCTTGATAAAGGGCCAGCAAAAAATAGAGGAAGACCCTCAATAACATGAATTGACACACTGGCTGTAACAATGGGCTCAAACATAGCAATGACTGTGAGTATGGCACAAGACTGGGCAGTGTTTCATTCTGTTGTACACAGGGTTGCTATGAGTCAGAAATGACTCAAGAGCACCTAACAACAACAGTAAAAACAAATTTAGAACCCACTAAGAAAATCAAGACTATTCCATAATAAACAACATAATAAGCAATATTTCAGAGAACAGGAGAAATCATTAAAGAGTGAAAAAAGTAGTATGATATTTAGTCAGCTAGTGCTAATTATCAAGTTAAAATAATTTTAATGTTTTATATGACTTGATGGGATGAGTCCGTATTCTGATTGTATGGTATTTTCACATGTTTAATACTATAAAAATAAATAGCAGTATTTTAAATGCTCGAATTTAATCTGTTCTTAAAATCAGCAGAATACAGGATATCTGGGAATGTCAACTGACACACGATTAGTGTTTCCATCCAGCATAATATACACTCTATGAAGATGTTAACTCTTAATGCTTTGTCTGGCCCATCTGGTCTACATTATACCTAAATACATCCAAAAGAGTCAAGAGAGAGGTAGCACTATTGAAATGCTCAAATCATATCACATGTTTAAAGTGGTATCTACTTACAGCTTTAAAAGAAAGTCCTGTAGTCTCCAGTTGAATATAAAAGATGTAAGACGTGCACATACTGTTACTTCTCAAAATCTCACTAAATCAGTAATCTGAGTTTTTTTTTCTTTTTCTTTTTTTTTTTTAAAAAAAACCCCATAAGAAGAAAAAACAACAAAACAGATGTCAAAAAAACTTTGGAAGGCAGCAAATGGATAGACAAGCAATAACTAATCTAGGTTTCAGCTTTTTCTGCTGTGCTGGGTCTGCAAAGACAGACCCAAAGAAGAAAGCCAATGCATTTATCAGAAGCCCTGGGGAAGTCAGTAAGTGGAAACACCAGGTACTTCTAAAGGCAGGATTACATGATGGGTAAAAATAAGAAAACTGGTTGCAAATCTGTATTAGTAATAATGAAGTTCCCAGATCTTACCTTGCCTAATTGTATCAATTAGGTGATGGTCCTTGCCTACTCTGGCAAAACCCAGAAAAATCACTATCTGAAGATGCTAAACCAGAGAAGATTTGGCTTAGCAACCTCAAGCAAAATTGAAAGTGACAATAAGAAGTGGGGAAGGGGTGTTAAATAAATGTCTGCACAGTGAATGATGAGACTCTGAGCCTTTTTCCCCAGTCAGCTTACAAAACATTGTCAGATTTATACCCCATAGATGGGAGAATGAACACTTCCTCTCTGGAGAAAATGATGAGCCCAACAATCTATTACCAAAAAACCCCACTGCCATCAAGTTGATTCTGACTCAAAATGATCAGATCTGCCCCATAAGACACCAAGGAAGAAATCATGGGATCCAGAGATGGCTGCAGGGAATTCCTAGGAAGATAGTGAAAAATTCCAGAAGAAAAACTATGAAAGAAGTTTAGAGAACTGAGGACTCTAGGAGGGTATTTTCATGGGAAAACAAAACAAAAATGATATATACCCACTCCACACTTTTTTACATGATTTGTTTCCAAAGATCAGGATGTTACCTGAAAATTGGTGTTATATAAAGGATGACCACAAAATGGACTACTTCATGATGTAACTGCCAAATTACATTAAATAACTACCAAACCACTGAGAATCACAGCCAAGCCAAGCTGACACATAAACTTAACCATCACAGCCAGCACTACTCTTGCCTCCCACCTCAGTGTTCACTACTGCCACAGGTATGCTGTTAATGCACAAAATAGATTTTTTTTACTATTGCCACAAATGCAAAATGCTGGATCACAAAATAAAATGCTAAGTGGAGTAGGTGTATTTGAACTACTGAGGTTTAAAATTCTGTGGAGGAAATTAGTTTCTGTTTTACAAAAATAAAAAGTTATTCAAGGAAGGAAAGGTAAGAAAAAGACACTACAATACTCAGCAATAAATATTTTAATGGGCATAACAAGGTAAAACTAACTACTGATTTAATAAAAAGAAATTTCTCATAAATATTTCAGGAGTATGGAAAAAGGGAAGGAAAGGGAATGGGGAAAAAGGTGCAGTACATCTAAAAATAAAGAAACAGCAGTGTCACATAATATTTAAAAATACAGAAAGAACCCCCCAAAAATACATTAAAAAAAAAGACAAAGGTAAAAGTGGCTGTATCTGTGACATGGGGCTCAAGGGTAAAAAATGAAAGGAATGAAACTACTTTGTAAAATTTTTCAATTAAATGAAAAGGATTCCAGCAAAGAATAACTCTACTTTTTAAATCAGAGATAAGTTCTAATGGCATTAGCTGCATGCAGGAAACAAATCCATAAATTCATATTAATGATGTTTTCAAGGATACATTGCAAAAGATAAAACGAGCAGACACCAAACTACGCTGATATTCATTTCCTGAGTTGGCTTCATAAAACTGTAGTAGACTTCAGTTACTAGATACACAACTGTAGCAGCCACTGTGAAATCCACCAGCCACTGGTATTCTGGAAAGTAATGTAATGCTGAAAAATAAAAAGTTTTCTTTAAAAAAGTTTTACTTAAACTCTTATAAATAGCTTATGAGGATCTATCCATTGTTATCTTTAAATACGCTAGACTGCTGTTAGGATATTATTTGTTGATTTGCAATACAAGGTGTGCAAATAAGAAAATCTAAAAATACAGGAAATAGGTCAAGAATGTTAGTATCCAAAACTAAGTTTTCATGCCTCATGATTTAAATAACTAAATTAAAGCCAAAAAGATTACCGAAATATATTCAAATTTAAAATACATGATTACAAATTTGTTGGCATTCTCTTAAGTAACCAGTACTTTTTAAGGGAATTATATTATCCATTTTTATTAAGCATCTAAGCTATGATACTTTAACTTCAGAATACAACCAGGTCTAGAATACAATGAATTTACTTTTATTTCTGTGAAGAGACTTAAACTTCATGTTATAATTATTAACTAAACTAATGAAAGACCAATAATATTGTGAGTTATTACAGACTAAAATAATAAATTATATATTCTTTCTACTTCATCAGAAAAAGCTGATGAAATGTCTATCAATTTTGCATAAAACCATATTCCTTCAACAAACTATTGAATTCCAAGGATTTACATTAAAATTAACATCCTCTGAAAGTAAATATAACTCCCTCTCCTTTGCATCACAGTTGTTTTAAACTTCTTAGAAGGTATCAATACTCTCATTTACTTCCGTAAGAGCATAATCCAAAGTATCAACATTACCTTGTAGGCCACCTAAAAATATAAGTGAATCACATCTATATAAACCAATTCTTTTATGTTCTCTCTAGTACTTAACAAAACAATCTACACTGCTCTGGAAAATTTTTAGTTGTAACATGTAATAAAGTTATACCTGGGGATTCAGTATTCTTTAACCACACATTTAGAGAAACAGCGTTTTAAAAATAAAGTATTACTCAAAGAAAGACCTATTAAAAATACAAAACCAAACTAACCAAAACTTCCATTGTGTCTCCATAAAGTGACAGTAAGATTTTTAGAATCTCAAATCCTTTTTAGATTGAGTAAAGTTTTTATTTACTTCAGGTTATTTTAACTGCTTTAGTTCTTTTGTTCTGATAGACTTAATAGCTTCTAAACACGGGCCTGAAAGATTTATCCTAGAGTGATTACAGGATTCCTGCTCACCCTTCCTAAAACACGAGGAGGAAAAAAAAAAAAAATTTCATTCACTTTGAGCTTTAGAGTAACTTTCTGGAAGGAAGACAGAGAAATGGTGAAACAGACAACACTTATTTCTAAAGATTTTCAAATTTTATTAACAACTGAAGTACCATTCTGATTCTCTATGCCTGCCCCCACTCAGACAAGCTTCCACCAGGGGAACTCACTCAAAGCAGTCAAGTGACATTCAAATGTTCCTGTGTTCTGTAAGGTTCTTGTAATAGATAAGGCTATCTGGTGGCAACGTGATTAAATCTGTTCTATGGGGTCATGATAAGTCAGAATCAGCTTGATGGTAGTGCTTTGGTTCTGGTTTTGGTGTAAGAGCTAATAAAAACTGAGATAAACTTGTGAAGCAGTTATTGGGACACTAATATATACTTTAGAACAAAAGTACAATTTATATATATCCCTGGTTATACGGTTAATTCAAAGCATTGTCACTTTATTTTTATTTTTGTATTTAATAATATAATTATATATGTGCCTTTTTTCACAGAACAGTGGAGTCAAAAGAAATCTTACAGATCATGGAGGCCAGTGGTTTGCATTAAGCTCCAGAGTTGTTATGTGCTGTCAAGTCGGCCCCTACTCATAGCGACCCCTCCTTGGGCTGCTGAGGCAGTATCAGTACGGAAGTAGATTGCCCAACTATCCTTCCAAGAAGTGGCTGGTGGGTTTGAGCCTCCAGCCTTCTAGTTAGCAGTCAAATGCCTTAGGCACTAAGCCATCAGAGCTCCTAAAGGGTATCCAGGGGTCAAAATATCCTCTGCTTTTACCTAAGGAGACACATTTAGCATGTATTCATAAATGACTACATAACAAACTGTTGTTGTTGTTATGTGCCATCGAGTTGGACCCGACTCACAGTGACCCCTCCTTGGGTTTCCGAGGCAGTATCACTGATTGCCCCATCTTCCTTCCGAGGAGTGCCTGGTGGGTTTGAACCACCAGCCATCTGGTCAGCAGTCAAATGCTTTAGGCACTATGCTACCAGAGCTCCCATAACAGATTAGACCTCAAAATAAAATAGTCCCCAGTCATTCAAGCCAAGCACAATATTCTTGAAATTGTATGAGCAGTTTATAAAACTACTTTTCAAAATTGTACAAGTGATATCAAAACACTGAATAAACTGCACACTGAAGCTCATAAAAGTTGTCACTTTTATCCACTACCTTAATTTCAAGTTTTAAAGGTGTAACCTGGGCAAAGTTAAACTTCTCTGTGCCTCAAGTTTCTAATGAGGTTTTGTTTTAAAAAAGGTGATAACACTTACCTACCTCTAAGAATTCTGAGTATGAGTTAATACAGGTAAAGCACTTACAAAAATGCCTAATATTCAATTATTTTAAGCTCTAATTCAAGTTAATTAACTGGTAACTACTAAACATTGTTAGTATAAAAATGACAAAAAGTGTACTAGAAACCACAGAGAATGTGCATATAGTCTTATATTTGTATGTCTATGGACATTTTATGTAAGTAAGCACATACATATGGTAAAACAAATGTGACAACTATTAATCAAAAAGTCAAAGTACTTTGAAATGTTTTTAACTGTGCATTTAGTGTTAAGAAAGAAAAAACAAGATGACATAACCAATCTTGAAAGTCTGAATAATACTAGGCAACTGATTCAAGTAATTCGCTATCAGATGCTAGGTAATAAATCTCTTAAGTTTGTTTGACAGTGGTACGAATTAACCCAAGAAGAGACAAACTGTATAATGATCTTTTATATTAAATTACCAAAATTCTAAAAAATAAATAAATAAATTACTAGATAAATAAAATGTTATTTTACTTCCTCATTTCTCATGTAAACCAGTGGTTCTCAAACCTGGTCATATTTCAGTATCACCTGGAGTACTTTTAAAAATACACATTCTTAGAACCCACTCTATACTTACATCAGGTAGGACAGGAGAATCTTTATACTTATAGAGCCACTCAAATGACTCTGATGTACAGTCAAATTTGGAAAACAGTTTTAAATAATATCACTTTAGATTCTTTTCCCTTTTAGCATTTAAATGATTTCACATAAATTTCCATTTTAAACTTAAAATCAATAGCCATTATACAATTACAGAAATTGAGATATGAGGGAAAAGAAAACCTAAATGACTTATTCAGAGATACCCAATAGTTAAAAAAGTTAATCTTGAATAAGTAAAGCTTCCTGACTCCTAATCCTGTTCATTATTCAGAGATCATTGTCTACCAAATGGAAATATGAAACAGAATGAGTAATACAGGCAATTCGATACAAATACACAAACGCATTTTTTTTAAATCACATCATGAAAAGAGCAGAAAAGCAAAATCAAGAATACAAGAAAATAAAAACTCTGATATCAATTTAGTAAGAGAGAAGCTGTATAATAAACTCATGTTAGTCTCTTCTAAAAAACAGGAAAATAAACTGCTAACCAACAGCTTCTACAGGTGAATAGGAAAAAAAAAATCAAATCAAATATAATCATTTTGAGCTCTTAAGTTCTTAAAAAGATTTCATATTCTGTATAATGAAATGAGCCACAACAGATAAAATCTGAGTACTTTCACTAACATAAAACTGAGATTTACAGATTTCCCTTACCTAAAGTATCCACTTCTGTAACTGATTTTGTTTCTAGATGAAGGTCAATATCCTTTGGAATGGTTAGTGGCTTACTTTCAATATGACCATTATATTTCCTATAAAAATCAGACAGGTGACACAGAAAACAAGTTACCTACACTGTTATCCAAGTAAATACAAATGTGATTTTAAATTTCAAAGTGAAAAAGAGATGCAGATTTTTTAATATTTCACTAAAAAGAAGGTAACATACTCAACGGGGATCATAAAATGTTTATGTAAATTATTATGTGAATACACAGATTACCAAAGAAAGAGTTAACTAACTCAGTAACAGAAACAAAAATCTTGGTTGCTAACTTAGCATTTCACCCTCATTTCTCCTACTCTCTCTTCTGCAGATTTAAATACATTGTCGTGGAAACTTTCTTCAGGCACAATAGTGAAAGGAAATTAAGGCAAGTATACAAGTCTTTGAAATACAAAGATTACACACACACACACACACACACACATAAATAGACTTGTAACTAAACAAGTCAGAGTTGAGGAAATACATTAAGATTTATGTGCAGAAGGAATTCAGAAACATGAAAGGCAACTCAAGTGGCTGTTACTAAGAATCACAGATCAAGGAAAACAACAGAAGAATTCTTCAGGTATATATTATAAATCTCAAACTTCATTTTTAAAAGAAAATCAAATGTATAAAGAAAGTAATAAATTAAATTTCAGTAACATTAATTACTATACTAGAAAACAATTTCACATGTATTTTTGAATAAATATAAATGGAAAAATTCAGTAAACAAATTATTTTGTATCAACACATCAAATAATTAGTGTTACTAGGAACAAGTCAGTGACAGTAGTGTATCTTTTTTGTAAATGTCACACATGTTCTATATAAAAATATTGATCATTAAAAAATTACAAAAATACTGAGTAAAAGGCTATGGTAAGCATGCAAATACTTGCCAAATGAATAGTACAATACCTAACTAAATTTATAAATTTTGAACACTGTACCTATAGAAAAGTGAGTTGCGATAGTTAAAAAAGAAGCTCTGAAACTGAAAACTAGCCTGTATTAGTTATTAGTTAAATAGGGCAACCTATTTAACATTGGTGACCATCAGCTTCCTCATTAACAACAAGTCAAGTCACTGTACATTAATAGGGTGATTTTGTAGATTACGTATAAGTGTATGTAGCAGTGCTCTGCAAACTATATAAAACGATTACCAAACCAAACCAAACCAAACCAAATACACTGCCGTCGAGTCAGATCCAACTCATAGCAACCCCTCCTTGGGTTTCCAAAGGAGTATCACTACGGAAGTAGACTGACCAACCTTCCTTCTGAGGAGTGGCTGGTGGGTTTGAACCACCAGCAGTCAAAATTGGTATAATATTTATGGTACACATACTTAGTAGTCAAATGCCTTAGGCACTATGCCACCAGAGTGCCTATATGAAACAATTAGGCAGAAATATTTTATTAAAGAACAAAACTATTGGGATAAAAAGTAGAAAAGCTCACAAATAAATGTTACAACAAGCTTTAAGGTGTATTTTAATGGTAAGTAAAAAAAAAAAAAAAAAAAAGAGGATGGTAATAAAATCAGTAAAGGCAGTCTTTACAAATTTCTAAGTTCAAGCCCAATAATCATTAACATTTAGAGAACTAATACCAGGTTAATATCTGTATGACATAGACATAAAATTTAATGACAAATTGTTGTCATCACTGACATTTTATAATGCTGCTTCAGAATCATTATTTCAGAGTCAGAGTCCTCCTGGATCTCCAGCTGAGGAAACTGAGACTCATTCAGAGGCTAAGTAACATACAATTTTCAATTTAAACTGAGATATAAAATTTTAGACTTGAATGGTCCTTCAAAATGACTACTGTGAAATCAAAATGAATCCCTCCATGTCAAATGAGGCTACTGTGGTCTACTCAGTGAAGTTTATTAGCAAGTCATTTTCTTCATAAACTTTAAACATGGATATAAATATTTAAGAACTGAAAGATACCTATTTAATTATACAATGAAACCTGTAAGAGCTGGAACTTGACAAGACTGCCTTGTTTTTCTGGTTCTCACAAGTTTTCTGCCTTTGACAGGGTAGGCTTTATCCCCTCACTCCATGAAATATTTTGGAAAATATTTGACTTTTCCAATCTGACAGATTTCTCCCTTACATGGGTTCTAGTTTTTGTAGGCTTTATATAATATCCCCTTTTCTAGTTTTAAAGACGAGAAAATTAGTATCAAACACAGGTCCATTTGTCCAACATCACAATACTAACGTATTGCCGTCAAGTTGGACCCAACTCATAGCGACCCTTCCTTGGGTTTCCAAGGCAGTATTACTATGGAAGTAGATTGCCCAAGCTTCCTTCCGAGGAGTGGCTGGTGGGCAGGCAGATGCCTTAGGCACTACGCCGCCAGCAGAGCACCCTCACAATACTAAGCTGTGGCAAAATCTGAAAAAGCACTCAAACCAAGTAATATCTGTAAATGAGTTGTATGGTAAGAACATGAGTTATAAGTCTTGCCCCAACTCAATCTTCACCAACTTTCCTTAATATGATGGCTATTTTGTTCTCACAATTTAAACACAAAGAAGAATAAAGTTAATCATTCTTGAGTAAAACAGTAAGCACTGTTTTAAGCTTCCATATTTAGATTACTAAATATTTTCTTAGAGTGATATTTTAGATGGGTTTCAATCTCAAATATATCAAATGCTTATAGCACTAGTAAAAAATGTGCCTTTAATCAAAGCACAAAATGCATGCACATATACTGTATTAAACATTTGTGATGGTTATGTTGTATGTCAACTTGGCTAGGCCTGGTTGAGTGGCTGGGCAGCTGATGAAACTGGTAATCAACTCCATGGTGGAATCTCCTGGGAGCAGCTGAGTAAGCTGCCTTTGGGTATGTGCTCTGCTTCCCGTATATAAGGAAAAGCTTTGAGAATGGTCTCTAGCCTATGGCACACTTGGACCCTGCAAGTAGCTGTGTCGTTGCTTAGCAGCCTGCTATGCTCTGCTGACCTTGGGACTTAAAATGGACTTAAGTTAATGGCCTGCCATGTAGTTTGGTAACATCGGGATTGTGCCTTTTGACTTGTCAACCTTGGGGCTTCTCAGCCTCAGCAGCCAGCAACTGTCTGAGTGAAGAAATGCCTCTAGCTCCAGTGGGCCAGGAGCAGGAGGCCGAGCTGGAAACCAAGGTTGAGGGGCTTTCACGCAGCCCCTGGAGCCTGGCACTTTGAACTTGGACTTAAAGCCTCCAAATTGCGAGAGAATAAATTCCTGTTTGTTAAGGCCACCCCATTTGTGGTATATTCCTGTCAGAGTGGCACAGAACAACATTTAACACTTCCATGCTCAACAATATAACTTACCTATCTTTTTTGCTTTTCCCTTTTTGCTGCTTCCCTGCAAGAATTCGTAATTCTTCTTCTGTAGGATGTTGATACCACCTCAAGCTAAGAAAAAGAAACTCCTCTTAAACAAAGCAATTAAAATTACTGGAACTATTCATTTATTCTACAAATTATTTACTGAGTTTCCAGTTTGTGAAGACATTGCTGCGAAATGTCAGGTGAAAAACCAGAATCTGAAATTGATACCACTGCTTAAGCCTTAAAAGGATTTAGGATTCAAATCTAGTAAACACTTACTAAGCACTTACTACATGCTAGGCCCTGCAATTCTGATTGTACACATATTTCTTAAAATTAACAATGTCGTAATATATAATAAGGTTATATAAGTTCATTATTAAAATAAAATTGAGTGAACTCTACAGGCAAGCTGGCAGGAAAACATTCAAATTCTCAACCCATCCTTCATTTACTCAGAAGGAATTGACAATCACCTTAAAAAAAATAGTTGTTTGACTGCCCTGACAGCTACATGTAGTCTTTCCTTTCCTCCTTTAATTTAGTTTTGAGAATTCTCAAACGTTATGTGCATAAAAATTAGCACACAACCCTTTACTCTTTCTTGATTAGTCAGTTAGGGTTTCAACAACTGAAGGTATTCACCTCTGCTACACAGCCAAAGTATCCAAACAAATCATTTCTCTCTCAAGAACCTTCCTGATCATTATGAATTTACTGTCTTACCCAATGTTCCTTAAGTGGTGCAAATTGTTAATGCACTCAGCTAACTGAAAGGCTGGAAGTTCTAGTCCACCCAGAGGCACTTTGGAAGAAGGCCTGGCAATCTACTTCCAAAAAAATCAGCCACTTGAAACTTTATGGAGCACAGTTCTACTAACACACATGGGGTCAGAGTCAAATTGACAGAAACGGGTACAATTACCTACCTAGTATCTACCAGCCACCTAAACTTGAGATTCAAGTCTTAACTTTCAATGTACCCACTCCATGTCATTACCAATGAACACAAATGTATTCAGTTCCACTCTTAGTTTAATGGCTTTATAATAAAGTAAAAGTCCCTAAACTACAATTAACATGGGTGAGGAAGCAGCTCCTGAAATCATGATTTAAGACCAGAATTTTAACTTAGAACATTTAGAAGAACATTTAAGCAAGAATTCATTTATAAAGACTAAAATCATACACTTAAGTTTTGAGGAATAATAAGCAAACAGTAAAAAACTCTTTTAGTACAGGAAAACTTAGGTTATATTTAGAGCCCTATAATAATGAACAACTTAAATTTAAGATCCTTAAATTTTCTACAAACTGTTCCTTTTAAAATTTTTTAAGTTTTTAAATCTTATTTTGTGATCCCATTTTTAAAAAATGGAATAGATTTATTATACCTCTTACTAGGTAACTTATAGCCATCTTCACTGACAAGAGTAATTGTTCAAAGCTCAAATCTAAAGATGCTGTTAGGCCAGGGGTAGATTATACAATAAGCAATGTAAACACGGGCTTATTTGTGCTTACTCAGTAATCTGTAGTGAGAAGTTCACATTTTTTCACCATACCTGTAAGATTCTACTTCTAGGTATGACTGATGTCTGTCTCTTCCCCAACTTCACAGTACCTTCCTATAAAATCAAAGTTTCTTTTCCTATTTACAATCCCTGACAAAGAAAAGTACTCAGAAGGTAAGCATGAATTTATTTGTGCTTACTCACTAATCTGTAGTGAACAGTTTCACGTATTTTTCACCACATCTTACCCATGTGTAACTGTTCCACAGATTAGTAAGTAAGCACAAGCTTACTTTGCTTATTGAGTAAACTACCCCTGGCTTAGGCCCACTCACTTCTAGTCTGTTAATCAACCATTTGTCCATTTATTACCTATCCATGATTCATTCATTCATCAAACATTTATGAAGAGTCCATTATATTTTAGGTACTCTGATGGCAATGACAATATAATCATAAACAGAAGGCCAAAGTCCCTGCTTTTTCGATGTTTATATTGTAGTTGGAAGGCAGAATTTAACCAATACCATTTATATGTATATATAAATTGTAACTCTATACAAAAGAAACAAACAATGGTGATAATAAGTAAAAAAAAGTCTTAGATATGAAGTGAGGAAAATCTTTCTGAGATGTCATTTAAAACAACAACCTAAAGGATGAGAAGAATGGATGGAAAGAGCATTAAGGCAGATAACATATGCCCCAAAGCAGAGAGGCAATAATATTCCAGTAACTAAAAAAGCAATGAGGCTTTAGTATCATACACCAAGAGAAATACATGGAGGGAGGCTGAAGAAATAAACAGAAAGCCTTAAGGTTCCCTGTATAAAGTTTAAGTTTTATGATGAAATAATGGTTTTGAAGCAGGGGAGATAAATAATTCTCTTTACATTTTAAGACTCTTTTTGTTGCTCTATGAATTAGAGGGAGGCAAGAATACTAAGGAAATATATTTTGAACACTGACTCAATAGGTTATTACTGGTGGAGCAGAGGTAGGGAGAGAGAAAAAATAAGGATTCAATGATGTTTATATTTCTGACTCAAGGAAAATGGTGGTACATTTTCTGAGATGGAGAAAAGCACAGAGAAATCAAGAATTTAAATATTCAGAGTCTGAGGTATCTATGAGACATCAAGTGAAAATGTCAAGAGGTCAACTGCATTATTAGCACCCAGAACTCAGAGGTAATTTGAGGTAATTTGTGACAAATTTGTCTATACAGGGAAACAAGGAAATAAGACAACTAAGGAAAGGATATGGAAGGGGCTTTGCTTTTTTAAGGGGGCACGGTTATGTCTTCTTGTTGTTTTTTCTTTTAATGGGAAATATTTTATTAAAAAAATGTGTGGTAAGAAGCAAGAGCCAAAAGAAATGGAGCAACTGATAAAACAGAAGGGAAGAGTCTAAGAAACAAAGTCTGGATGAAGGAAAGAAGAAATGGGGTCTACAGTACAAATACACAAACTGGGCAAGCCTCTATAGGACAAAATAAAATTATACAAAAAATTTAAAAAATAAAGAAACAGAATTGCATATGGAACAAGGGTTGTGGATTTGGTTATGTGATGATGAAAGCGATGCTCTCTGGTTTCAGTAGCTTATAATGATGCTGAGACAGACATGTAAAAAGCTTGAGGAGAAAAGATGAAAAAAGTTGAAAAAGCTGCCTGGCAAAGTATACAAAAGTTGCCAGGAATTATGGAGTGGCCATCTCAGACCTTAGTCTGAGATTGTGAATTTAAAGTATAAAACCTAGAAGTATGACTGTACTATATTTTTCAACAATCAATGTATTGTTTGCTTCCATACCAAATGGTTCCTATCTGCCATAGTCTTTTCTTTTGCTATGAGTTGATATATCTATCTCAGCCAAATGAGTCTTTGCTTGCAACAACGCATTAAGCCTTTCTACTACATGCCAGGAAGTTTACTAGATTTAGATTTTAAGCAGCAATTAATAATAATGTCACAAAAATAAAATGAAGTAGAAAAGTGAATTATGTTAATGTATTAAGCAAAAAGGAATATGATGTAAAATTGCAATATAATCAGAACCATTTTGGGACAACATGAATAGAAACGATTAAAAGGAAACTACACAACTTACAGGGATTTTCTTTCGGTGATAGAAATATATTCCATCACTTCTCATTCTTCCTTTGTAAATTTATCATCTTTTTCTATAATAAGGCACATACTGCTTCTCAGTGGAAAATAAATTAAGTTTTTAAAAATTAAAATGTATTAACAAATGTGGTTAAAACACTGAGTCTCTTGAATTTAAGTTAAATACATTAATTTTAGTCTATTTTATGACATTTACCTTGGCTACTCAGTGCCTTTTTTCATTTATGTTCAGATTGTCAGCAGTGTCTCATATAATAAAGCCAATGTCCTACTGTACTCCAATAAATTATTAAAACAATTTTTCAATGATAAAAATATATAAAGCTCTCAGGTAAAACAATCTCAGACAACTATTACTCTTACCAAAGTAGTTCAACAGTACTGAAAAGAAATGTATCAGAAAGTACAGAATGTATTGATCTAGACTTTATTTTTTAAATTTAAGCAGCAATACCATTTAAGGCATGCCCACTGGAAATATTTTCAGAAATTTAAAATGGAAAGCTGAACATGAACAAATATAGAAAAGTTTGGTATTGACAGAGTAAGCTAAAAATGCTTTGATGCAGTCATACAAAACGCTATTCCAAGATACATAAAATAGACATTAAAGACAGCTTTAGTCTCTATTCTAAATCTCCCAAATTTCAACAATAACAAAAAAAAAGAGAAAATAAAATATCACTGCAAATCCTAGAAAACCTGTTCAGCATAAGAAGCTTAAAAAAAATTGCTATATACACACAGTCTCTTGTTATTTGTTGGAACATTCTAAAAGTTAAGATAGCTAAGGCAAGGAGAGGAGGGACTCAGGCATTCCATCGGGGTAGAAGCTGAAGGTTTAAACCTTTCCCTTAGGTCATAGGTCCCACCTACTGTGCATATGAATAGTAGCTTTAGCTCTTCAAAGGGAACTTGTAGATTCTTGGATCAGGCAACATGCGAGAGAATAAGCAAAACAAATTAGAGTAATTGAACAAGGTTTTTAATAAGAGTATCATGGGTCACAACCTCTTTTCCCAATATGGGATGAGACAAAATCAGAGTAAATCTGACCATAATATATTTTCACTGAGGGACATATGAAGGGAAGTAGCAGACCAAAGTAAGGAAATCTAGGGAGACAGAGAGACAGAGAAAAATGCATGAGCCCTGAACTTAACAATTAGGAAAGTGAAAGGCAGGTTCAGCAAGGAAGCTTTACAGAGAAAAAGCAATATCCTACACCTCATGCAAAACCCACTATTCAAATATACAATAAATGCAGCCTATTATCACTTACCTCCATGAAAAGAGGGGCCAAGCAAACTTCAAAACAGAAAGGAACTTTAATTACAATAGAAAGCAGGGAATACTTTGGTTACAAATCAGTGGTGTACTGGATATGATAAAGAACTGATACTGTTAGGTAACCCAAAGCAATTGCTAAAAGTGTTC